TATATATATATATATATATATATATATATATATATATATATATATATGTATATATATAAATTACTACCTTGAAACACTTATTCATTCAAATTTATCCTGCTGAACTGTTAGATTTTCTAAATCTCCTTATAATCTAGCAGTTTTTTTCTCTCGCTACTATTCCTCTCGATTGTCCTTTTGGTTGCTATTTTGTTTTTCATTTGTAAAAAAAAAAAAGGGAATTTAAAATTGTATGCTTATTTTATGACTGTATATTGTTGTCGTTGTTATCCATTGTTGTCATCACTCTTTGTTAAGAGTCTCTTGTAAATGAGTCCTTGAGGCTCAATGGGATTAACCTTTCTAAATAAAGGTTGAATGAACGAATGACTATTTCTACCATGTTGTTGTTAACTATCTCTCTTTTGGATGCTGTAAATATTACAATTACTTTTTCACTTTTTGGTACTTTATTTTGTACCCTTATTGCATGCTTTTAGTATTTCTTGTTTGTTTGTTCTTTTGATTTTTATTATTTTTCTTTTTTTTTTAGTGAGTTAATTCAGTTCTTCTCATCCTAAACATTTCATTGTACTGTTAACCTTGCATATGACAAAAAAACACAACTTGAACGTGATGAGATATTTAGCTAACAGACAAATGCACACACACTAAGAGATACAAAAACATCATTATCAACTTTTTGTGTATAGATGCACTTGATCATATTAAATCTATACAGTAAGAAGTTGCAGAAATGTCAAAATTATTCAATATCTGCATGAGCTCGCTGAATTTGAACTTCAGTCAACCTCTCTAACACAAAAAACATATTTTAAATCCACTTTTTTACGACTCTTGCTTTCTGCACAGCAACCACCAAACAAATTAAACTCTCATGCATTCTTTATTATCGACGATTTAAATGTTCTGATTATGTATCCCTGCGGGGAGCAGGAGGGACAGTTAATCATCTCCGAGCCGCGAGTCGGGATCTCTCAGGAGAAGAGCTGCTGTGCAGAAATCCACCATTAACGTGCTGCAGTGAGCCGTGCAGTTAATGGGAAAGAGCCGGAGTTCTCATTTGATTTTCTGAGGACGCATTAAGATAAAAACATACAATATTTGTGGAAATGAAATTAGTTTAGGAGGAGAAAGAGCTCAGAAAAGGAGGGCTCTTAGTGTTTGGAGAAAAGCCATTAATGAAGATTTTCTCTCGTGTAAAACGGTTTCTGCGGAAATAAATCTAGCCCATCAAATAAAAGCTGCGAAAATATTTTTTTTTCCTGTTGAGGATAATTGACATTAATTGTCAGAGTATTGGTCTTCAGGGCAAAGAAGCTGGGAATAAATTTGTGAGTCACCGCTCACAGGAAACTGATGCCACTCCCTCGGGTAAACTGGTGGCTCTTTATATTCTAAGAGGATCCATCTTCTTGTATTAGCACACACACACACACACACACACTCACACCACCACCACCACCATCAGGCCAGTCTCCAACAGGCTGAGGGGACAAAACATCCAGGCTGCTGCATCAAAACGCCCGCCTGCTTTCATGTCAGACTTTTAAACGAACACCATCTTAGGCTGAGAGAAATGATAATATTGCAGATGTCATGCTCAGAGTAGATGATGAGAATGACTCTCAGCTACCACCACACCAAAATTCATTGAGATATAAACATTTCTGTGTTGGCTAAGGTCTCTTAGATGTGGCAGCCATCTAGAAATCAAATGCTAATCAGTTGCAGATGTTCATTTAATTATTATTATTTAAGCTTTTCATCAAACACATCCAGTGGTTCAGGAGATATTTTGCTAACAGACACATAGATGCACACAGAGACATTAGCAAAAGCATTATTGTCCAACTTTGCATCTCATTATCCAGCGATAAGGAACTTTTTTCATAAATGGAAGGACATTTTGGTTTTTCAAAGATTTTTCAGCTCTGGCTTCATTAACATGTTGTCTTTATGCTTTGTTTAACAGAAATACTTTGGTAATATGTTAATTAACTGCATTAGCGTATTAATTAACTTAGCTAAACCACATTAAATCAGGGTTGTCCAATCCTGGTCTTTAAGGACCATAGTGCTCATGTTTTACTTGTTTCCCTGCTCCAGCACACTTGATCCAATGGTTAAATTATCTCTTTGTGTTCTGCAGAAGTCAATTAATCACACATGGTTCAAATCAGGTGTGCTGGAGCAGAGAAACCTCTAAAACATGCAGGATAGTGACCCTCGAGGACCAGGATTGGACATCTCTGCATGAAATGGCAACATCAACTTAAACTAATTTTATCAGCAATATAAATAGAAGTGCAATGATTCAATTTGAGCCTAAAATCACCTGAAACCACTGATGAATCTGTCAAAGCAAGCCAATTAATTTTCCGTCTAATAATTAATCAGCTGAGTGATTATATGTTCCGCTTCTTGTTTCAGCTCTGATCCCAGGTCAGTCCAAGTGGGAGCTCCTCGTGAGCGTTTTCATGGTCATCGAGGCTAAAGCTCCACGGTTTAAGCACGGAGACTTCGTCATCCTGCAGAATGAGTCAGACTGAGTGCAGCTAACTCCTCCTCAGAAGACTGAACAGCTCAGCTTTGCTTTTACAGACCTCTTCCATCACAAGCAGCTCTTTTCTGCAAAGGGTGAGACCAAAACATAACACCATAGAGGTGCTCAGATGCACGGAGGGAGGTAAAAATTACTGCAGAGTCAAAACAGAAATAACAACGCTCATCTGACTTGGACTGCAAACACACAGTTTGGAGTCAGAAGCAGAGAAGTGGAGCTCTTCAGATCAACACGCATACAAGATAAAGATAAATATAGAAGCATAACAATCATGAATAAATCAAAAGGACTGAGCTCGTTTGGCTTAGCTAACAAATTTACTGAAATATTCATTCCTTCTAAATACTTCCTGCTGAACTGTTTCCATCTGATTTGCAGCCCACGTCTCTGGATGGTGGAGACGATGTTAGAGCACAAGAACTGAGACAACCACTCTTGTAACGTTTGAACGCATGAAGATAAAAGGTCAGTGTTCGCAGGGTTATCAGTGCTGATAACGCTGAGTGGCTCGGCACGCTCGAGGAAAGAGCAGCAGAAAATAAGGAGGTGAACGCCCAACTGCATGGAGACCCTTCTGAGGAACAGCTTCTCTCTGTTCTGTCTCAAATAACTAACAGGTTGCCAAAGATTTGGACTTATGCAGTTTAATTTAAGTCAAAATCAGCCAAAAAGTTTTTGTTAAAAAAATGATACAGCGCCCCCTGGTGGGGTGTGCCCTTGCCTGCCGGCGCGCTTGGGGCCCTTGGTATCGGGGGCTGGGCGCTTGGGCGTGTGTCGGCTCGGCCTGGTGTCTGCCTGGTGGGGCTCGGGTCCTCTGGCCCTGTCAGGCCTTGGCCTGGGTGGTGTGAGTCCTCGGTGCCCGGGCCTCGGTGCCTGGACCTGGACCTACATCGGTGCGGCGGGTGCCGACGGGGGCCTATGAGTTTGTCGCTGTTGGCCCCGGGGGGTCACTGTATGTGGTTGCTGGTGGGGATCTTCCGGTTCTCCCCTGTGGTCCGTTCTGGGGGGTGGGTGAGTGGTTCGTCCTGTGTGGGTGGCTCTGGGGGCTCCGCGGTCGGGGTCCCTCCTGGGGTCTTGGACTCTGGTCCCCCCTTTTTCATCTGCCTCTGGTCTTGGGGGTCGGGTCTCTGCTGCTTCACAGTTACTAATAAATGTTCTATTAGAGAAGCCTTATACACTTATGCATGCTCACAACCACACACAAATAGAAGCAGGGATGCTTATTTAGGCTTTATATGTAGATATATAGATATGTATGTGAGTGTATATTCATGTGTATGTATGTATGTATGTATATAGGCGTAGGTATGGGTATATATATTTATGGAAACTTACTGCAAAGCCATGAATATTTTAAGTTCTTTATACATATGTATTTTGTTGCTATGTTTTGTCATGTTCTTTGCAGGTGAACAGACAGTGGCCGGGTGTTTTGACGTGTGCTCTATTTGTATATATTTCTTATATTTTGGAGTCTTACTTTGTCTTTTCTTTCTTTCTATCCTATTGGAAAAAAAAAAAAAAAAAAAAAAAAAAAAACCTACACTAGATAGTCACTATAATAAATATTTCATAATAATGGTGTGGAGAGGATGGCTGTAAGGGGAGAAGGGAGGCTATCAAGAAAAAAAAAAAAAAAAAATGATACAGCAACAAAAAATTAGTTAAACATTTTAAACGATAAATTTGTTGCTTTGTGCGTCCAGGGAATAACTAATTTTGCCATTCATAAGCACAAGTTTGCAAAGTCATTTTGGTCCCTCATCATGGAGAGAAGGGGGAATTGGAAATACCCTCTGTCCATCTGTCCATCAGTGCACGTTGTGAGCACAAAAACTTGAAAAGTAAGTGAGGTACCAATTTTCACTGTGTGTGGCTGCATCTGCTGATAAGAAAGTTTCATTTCCGGTGGCCAAAGATTGATCTATGGTGGGCAAGGCCACCATTGGCCACCCCATGGCTCCGTCATTGCACCTGCTGGTGGATAAAATTGTTCTGTTCGCTTGTCAGGATTTGCCACTCTGGGCCACATCAGACAAGAAAAAGAAAAACCTACCACTGTAACTCCTACCCACTTGAATATCTGCACCAAAACCATTAAAGTTTACTTGTATTTCCTGCACAAGTCCAGTCCAGAAAAACACTCATCTCAAAACTACAAACATTTACTTTTCAAATCCTTCAGTGATGGGAAACGTTGGCCTACTATTTGATTAAATTTAAGTACGGGCTGAAAAAAAAATCTTTTTTTTTTTTTTTATTGTCTTGAATTTAAATGATTCATTGTTTTGTTTTTTGTTTGTTTTATTAATAGTCCTGAGCTTTGATTTAATATTCTCGACTTCTAAATTAAAAATTTAACAGAAATGGAGAAAACATGGACGTTTTCTTTCAAAGTTGTGCAACAAGATACAGGACAAAAACAACTTCTGCAAAACATTCATAAAAAGTAGCTGAAACTAACCGTGAAGCTTAAAAACCCATCAGCGCTTTAGAAGACAAGTTTGGGCCTTTTGCACTTATCTACAGAGAATAAAGGAGGACTGCGTTTAAACCACTTCTTGAACTCACCGATCTCCATCTCTATGAAACTGGCCTCCTCTGGAAGAGCCCGCGGCAGAACCCCGGGGTCGCTGAAGCTCGTCCTCAGGAGAAACGCCATGACGAACAGGAAGAGGAAGACGGCGAACACAGGGATGGCAGGAGACAGATGGACAGCCAGGTACGGACATCTGCGCAGAAGGAGAGGATTATGAACAAATGCAAGGATCTGTAAAAATATTTGTGTGAACATTTAAGAAATATTCACAGTATTGTGATCCATTTGTCTTCGGTACATTTTCGGCATCTTTCTCATTCCACAGTTTTTGTGCTATTTCAACAACATGTATAAAAACGTTCAGCTCATCCAACAGAAGGATGCTTTGGCTTTTGGTATTGGTCCAACTTTATCTTTTTTAAATAGTTAGACTTTTCTGCCAATTTTTTCTCAGAAAATGAATTGAGCTCATTTTACATCCTTCACATCTTTAGATCTTTTTTTTTTTTTTACAACCTTTTACTGCTCCTTTCACATTTTTTTCTGGTTCAGCTTCTTTGTGCAAATGTAAACTTTAGTTCAGCTACTTTCAGCTGCTTTTTCAGTTGTTTCATGCTCCTTTCATGCTCCTGCTAAATACAATATTTTTGTGTTTCTTCTAAGTTCTTTCTGCTAATTTCAGCTTGTTGTACTTCTTTCAGCTTATTTCTACAAGTTTCAGCTTTTGCTGCTATTTCAATTACTGTTTAGCTATTTTTCTGCTAATTTAGGCTTTTTCAGCTAATTCCACATTTTTTTCCACTCATTTCAACTTTTTTCAGCCTAATTCAGCAAAAATATGCTCTCTCCATGTCCTTCTGGTAATTTAAGCTTTGTTCTGCCTTTTTAGATAATTTGCAGCTGTTTTTTGATCATTTCAGCTTTTTTCAGATAATTTCCACTTCTTTGTGCTTGTTTCTGATTCTTTCAGTCTAATTGTGCAAACATTATTTCTGCTTTCTGTTCCAATTTAAGCTTGTTCTACCTTTTCAGCTTCCTTTTTAGCATTTTTAAGCTAATTTAAGCTGTTTTCAGATAAATACAAATTTTTATTTTGTAATTTCTGCAACTTTCAGCCTAATTAACTTCCTTCTGCTAATTTCAGCTTGTAACGCTCCTTTCAGCTTTTATCTGCTAGTTTCAGCTTTTTCTGCTATTTCAGCTACTATTGTTTTTTCAAGTTCAAGTTGTGTTTATACGTCATATGCAAGGTTAACACAAGGTTAACAGGACAATGAAATGCTTAGGATGAGAAGAACCGATATGACTCCGTTAACAAATCAACGAACAAACAAACGAGACATATTAAAGCATGCACTAAGGGTACAAAAATAAAGTACCAAAAAGTGAAAAAGTAATTATAATATTTACAACGTCCTAAAGAGAGATAGTAAACAACAAACAACAACATGGTAGAATATAACAATGCAAGAAGGAATAAATGAATAAGTATTTCAAGGTAATATAAGTTACTATTTAGTTGTTTTATGCTAATTTTAGCTTTTTCAGCTAATTTCACATTATTTTAGCTCATTTCAGCTCTTTCTACTTCCTTCTGGTAGGTTCATCTTCTTTCTGCCTTTTCAGCTTTTCGGGATTTTTAATTATTTTTTTTTGTTTTGTTTTTGTTTTGCTAATTTCAGCTTTTTACAGCTGACTTCCTAATTTTGTGCTCGTTTCTGCGTACTTAAACCTCATTCAGCTAATGCTTCTTTTTTCTTCTTCTGCTAATTTAGGCTTGGTTTTCATTTCAGCTACTTTCAGTATGTTTTTATTTAATTTCAGTTGTTTTTCAGCAAGTTCTTCTGCAGTAAGCATTCACACTGCATTTTCACAGGAAATGCAATTTCTCTAGTTCAGTTTAAATCAAACGTGACAGTCTAATTTTAATTTCCACTTCACAACAAAAAATGTTCTTTAGATTTCTGCATCGCTGGCGAGACAAAAACTGCAGACAAAGACAGAAATGTGAGGTCCCTCTCAGCGTCCAGAGGGCACGGCCTGACGACGCTCTACATCTTCTGAACGGGTGTTCAGAGCACGAGGTCATGAACTGTGAGGGCTGCTCTTTATCTGGAAGTTGTGGAGGTGATTAAACAGCTCTGTGCAGCCAAACACAAACCAGTGTGGAAAAAAGAAAGCAATATTAGCGCAGCTCCGTGTGTCAGATTAAAACCTCCTGCTGCTCAGTAACAGATGTGAGCTGCAGAGAAAATGCTGCATCAACAGAGCCTTCAGCTTTCACTTATTAATAGTTCACCCTCCTCTTCCTCCTGAGATCATATATTCATGATGCAACGTTAAAACACAGCTTTACAAAATGGTTCAGGAGGGACAACATCCATTAAAACAACAACGTCAGTACTGCAAGTCACTGACATGTTCGGACGTAAATCTTTGGGCAAAATTTACCGTTTATTCAATAGTTAGGATGATAATAAAGGAGGATTTATTGATTGGGTCAGTTTTTGAGTGGAATGTTAGTAAATCAAGTGCAACACAAAATGCATTTTTTGAAATTCATATGAGTGTATATTCTGGGCCACAATTTGTATCTTATAGGAACTAAACATTTTTTTTTCCTTTTCAAAGTAAATCTAAAAACGTTTCTAGCAAAAGTGGTGCTAAATATTAGCAAAAAATATTATAGAAAAAAATGGAGATTTCACTGTATCATCACATTATTTTTTGTATGTTGGTTTTTAAGAATCCTAATAGTGTGAGTAAATGACAAATATAAAGTTCTAATGAGTAATTTGCATTTGAAATGAACTATTTAATGTTCTTGTTATGAATGTAAGAAATAAACTGAGGGTCTGTTAGTTTATTCACCAAGCAGCACTTAAGCCTTTTATTTTTTAAATCAAATGTATCTAAAGTTGAACTAAAGTTTAAAACACAGCCTCAATTCATATCATTCACTAAGACTTTTAAATTGAGAAATGACAGCGTTTTTTCTCTGATCAAACTTTAAAACTGACATGATATGTGATCTCACATTATGTGTTGTAAATGACTCTCAGCTACTACCACACAAAATTTTAGCCCAATATCTGGAAAACTGAATGAGTTGTAGCTATTTGTGTGGTTTTTAATTTCAGTTGGCTGTGGCAGCCATCTTGAAACAGGTAGACTCTGAAAGTTAACCAGCTGTAAATATGCATCCAAGGATTTCTTTCTGCAAGTTTTAATAACATCTGTCAGGTGGTTCATGAGATATTTTGCTAACAGACATATAGGCATTATTGTTGTGTTTGCCTTTCATCAGCAGGTGATAATTAAACCTACTGTGTCAGGTTCTGGAAATGAAAGGAGAATATATATATATATATTTAAAGAACAAAAACCAACAAACGTGATCAGTCTTTAATTTTGGAGGCGGTTTAACATTTGTCTGGTTTGGTCTCTAACAGAATATTAGTTTTAGTCTAGTTGAACAGTATCCACAGTGTTACCTACAGTCTTGTTTACATTTTATCTATCTGACAGGACGTTTAAAGAGAACAGGGATGTGGCTGAGCATTAAAAAACTGCCAGTCAGCACAACCTGACAATGTACAAAGTCCATGTTTATCAGCAGATGAACCAGGTAGGTCAGTGCACCTGAGAAGCCACACAGCCACACCTGCTGCACCGGTCTGAGCAGCTTTTCCTGCTCCGACTTCCTCCCACCAACAGAAACCAGAAGCAAAGTTCAGTTCTATAGCAGCTTCACTGCGAGGAGTTTTTGCTTCTCGTGTTAGCCCAGAGAGCAGGTTTCAGGCCTAGCATGTCCACGTGTCTCAGTCTCAGACTGATGACCTGAAGGTATTCGAGTCACGCTTTATCGCGGCTTCCCATCAGGCCCGACCGACGATCACGTCCTTCCCGAGTGGGACCATTTCCTCTGCTTGCAGAGGAACTGGGTGGTGGAGTGTCACTGAGGGTCGATCAGCACAGATGCAGAAAAACTGGATTCAATCAACTTCTTTGTCCGCAAGGCTAAAACTTTCACATCCCAGTCAATCGGTTAACACCCATTGATTTAACCTCCGGTCCTGTTGAAAACCAGCCCGTGTGAAACGAGCTGATTCATATCTTGTTATGACTGATTAAAGACAACAGTGTGTGGTTTGATGGTACGTGCTGGACTCTTGTTTTCAGGCAGAGTAAACATCCTGAAGTTATTTAAAGTGCTCTGAAGGTGTTGCCAGGCAAATTTTCTTTGCAACCAGCAGCAGATCCAGGCTTTCCCGTTTTTCCAGTTTCAGGAATAAAACAAACACGATCGCTGTGTCTCCAACAGCCAGGCGTGCTCCGGTTAGCGTCAAATATGCTAATTTATTGAACACCACACGATCAGCGTCGCGTGATTTTGTTTGTTACACAAACAAAGAATGAAACTTGTGTTTCTTAAAGGAATTCAAATCACGCACGACCTGGCATGTCAAGTTTTAAACAAACTGACACATGATGTGTTAGCGCTCAGAGAAGGCAAAGAACAATATGTGACCTGGGGGCCAAAAGTGGCCCTTGGATAATCGCCATCCGGCCCCCAAAATCTTTAACTGAAAACACCTTTTTTTTCATTATATGAAATGTTGCATTTTATTATGAAACTTCAGTCTAAATTAAACATCTTGGACAAATACATTGAAGACCTTTAAAACAAGATAGGCCCAAACTTTCCTTTAAAGTCATTGTGTTTTCAGAACTAGACTGACCCTTAAAGTCTCCAAAAATGCAAACATACAACTTTTTTTTTTTTTTTGCATATTTAAGCTAATAAATATGTTGCCATAAAAACCAACTTACAGAAAGTCTGTCTTAAGATCATTGGCGAGCTATATTTTTTATCAAGCATGCTAACTTTGCTACAAGAAAAAAAATCTGAAAAAGTCCAGATGATCTGTCTTAAAGGAAATTTATTTCCCAATTCTTTGAATCGCTTTAAAGATCTTGATTTGGCCAACTGAAAAATAGGTTTCCCACCCCTGCCTCGAGACGGAGCATGCATTGGAAGAGACTTTCAGCTACTAATAAGCTAAATTTGAGCTCAATATTTGTAGAACTGGCAAAGTTAAAGCCATTTTTGTGGCTGCTAAAGCCACTCTGAAACTGCTGACTCTAAGGAAACCTGCAGGTAATAATAAAAAAAACTACTCGAACATATAA